GTGATGGTCTGAATGGCTTGCCACAGGCTCCGTGTGTCTCTGCTGTCTGTGAATTGATTGTTGATTTTTTGAGCATACGACCGTTTTGCATCTGCAATTCTAATCTGAATGTCATGAAATATAATTGAAATTCATTGAAATTCATAAAGCTCTACTTTTAACTAGAAAATAAAAGTCTGTTAACTTTGAAAGTCTGGAAAAAAGTTTAAAAAGCTTTGAAGTTTAAAGGTTGATAGACTCATAGATGATAGATAGACAGATACAACAGATCAACAGAATGATGGATGGATAGACAGAATGCTAGAATGAGAAAGAAAGATAGAACGATAGATAGAACGATATATAAATAGATAGATAGATAGAATGATAGATAGAACGATAGATAGATAGATAGATAGATAGATAGATAGATAGATAGATAGATAGATTGATAAAACGAGATAGAATGATAGAGAGAATGCTACACAATGCAACATTACAATGATAAAAGATAGAATGACAGACCGAAAGACAGATAGATAGATAGATAGATAGATAGATAGATAGATTGCTTTGACACAATCTGTATTGTTAAAAGCGCTATATAAATAAAGGTGACTTGACTTGACTTGAGGGCATATGATTGTAGGTCACAAGACTGACAATCTCTTCCTGTTAAGCGACAGCTGACTGCTCTGCACCAACGCATGAACTGTGACTACAGCAGCTGCATTCAACTTTGTTAAAGTAGGGGTCAGAAGTCTATTTCAAATAAATGGCCCCTTGCTACATATTATTAAAAAAAAAAAAATTTTTGAATTGGAAATCTGGATTTGAAACCCATAATAGCATTTAGTACCATGTTGTTATGATGCTTACATTGCTAAGCTTAAGTGGAACAAAGAGCTGACATGTTTCTTTAGGTAATATTAAGTTAATACTGTAGTTTAACATTTTGATTTTTAAGAAAAAAATTGGTAACACTATAATACATTTTAATGTATAAACATTATTTAATGCATATATCATGAACATGTTAATTTACAACTATTTATATCCTAAATCTAAAATAATTTATCCATACTCTATCATTTAAATGTTTGGGGTCGGTAAGATTTTATTTCTCTGTTTTTGAAAAAAGTCTCTTATGCTCACCAAGGCTGCATTTATTTGATCAAAAATATAGTAAAAAGAGTAATATTAGGGGGGAAGTCGTGGCCTAATGGTTAGAGAGTCGGACTCGTAGCCGCAGCAAAAAATGGCTGCCCACTGCTCCGGGTGTGTGTTCACGGTGTGTGTGTTCACTGCTGTGTGTGTGCACTTTGGATGTGATAAATGCAGAGCACTAATTCCGAGTATGGGTCACCATACTTGGCCACATGTCACGTCACTTCACTTCACTTTATTATTAAATAGTATTTCAATTTAAAATAACCATTTTCTATTTTAATATTTAAACATTTTATTTTGAATTTTTAGCAGTAATTACTTCATTCTTCACATTATCACAATGTGTCACATTATCATTCAGATATCATTGTAATAGTTCGTGCTCAAGAAACATTTCCAATTATTACCAATCTACAGTTGAGGTCAAAAGTTTACATACACCTTGCAGAATCTGAAAAATTGTAATTATTTTACCAAAATAAGAGGGATCATACAAAATGTGTTGTTTATTTAGTACTGACCTGAATAAGATATTTCACATAAAAGATGTTTACATATAGTCCACAAGAGAAAATAATAGTTGAATTTAAAATTACCCCGTTCAAAAGTTTACACCCCCTTGATTCTTAGTAATGTGTTGTTACCTGAACATGGGGGGGTTACCTGAACATTGTGTAAACTTTTGAACAGAATGGAGATGTGTACATTTTTCTTATTTTGCCTAAACATTATATATTTTTTTTCATTTAGTACTGCCCTTCAGTGGCTACAGACGATACTTACATGTTTTCCAGAAGACAAAATAAGTTAAATTTACCCTGATCTTCAAATTCAAAATGCTTTCACCCTCCGGCTCTTAATGCATCGTGTTTTCTTCTGAAACATCAGCGAGTGTTTGAACCTTCTGTAATAGTTGCATATGAGTCCCTCAGTTGTCCTAAGTGTTAAAAGATTGATCTCAAAATCATACAGTCATTGTTGGAAAGGGTTAAACTACACAAAAATGCTGAAAAACCAAAGAATTTGTGGGACCTGAAGGATTTTTCTGAAGAACAGCAGGCAGTTTAACTGTTCAGGACAAACAAGGACTCGTGAACAACTATCACTAAAAAAACAAACAAACAAAAAACACAGCTGTGGATCATTCAAATAACAACACATTATTAAGAATCAAGCATATGTAAACTTTTGAATGGGGTTAATTTTTATAAATGCAATGTCTTTTATGTGAAATATCCTATTCAGGTCAGTATTAAAGAAAAATAACACGCATTTTGTATGATCTCTCTTATTTTGGTTAAATAATTAACATTTTGCAGATTCTGCAAAGTTTGTTACATTTTGACCTCAACTGTATATCTTACTGACCTCAAACGTTTGAATGGTAGTGCATTTTGTTCATAATACATTAACCTTAATTTGTATTAATTTGTCTAAATTTAAAAAAAAAATTGATGTTGAGATGAAATACATAAATAAACACTGTAAAAGTATTATTCATTGTTAGTTCATGTTAGCTATTCTATTAACTAATGTTTTACCCAAGCGTTATCCAAAAATTGTTTGAGATGAAACAATAATTGTCTGGACCCACAACAGACCCCCGGTTGAAAACCCCTGCACTAAATTAACACTCAGCCTGTTCAGTCTGCTCTGAGAGCATATCCAACCTACCAAGTCTAACACGTTTGCGAGTGCCGTTCGTATTCTCATCATGCGAGGCGCTAGCTTAGACAATAGGTCTCCGTTTTACTATTTGCTAGAGGCAAGATTAATTATTTTTCCATTAATTAGATTAGCCTCTCCAAGGAGGGAGCCAGCATCTCCAGATGCCCAAATCTCATTTGCAGTTGTTTGTTTGAGTGGGCCGCTTCACGGCACCACCAAGAAATAAACAACGCAAATCACATCTGACCATGAAAAACAACGCAAACACCTCACAGAAAACACACAGCACCTGAGACCTGGGCTGTGGACGATATATATATATATACACACACACTTTGGTTGCTTTGGGCTAATAAGCTCATCATGTTCACTCATGCATTTTAACATGATATACACTGATGAAAAATACACACATTGAAATGAGGCAGGCCTCAACTCTAATCTCATTCATGATTTTTCTCTTCGACTGCTGGCTTGATATATTTAAAATGCATATTAAAGTGGGTGGAGCTCATGTTGGTTAAGTCTAGCCAATGAAAATGCAGAAAGTCTGAAACCTACCAGTACAATGACAGCAGCGGGGCCGACAAAAGCATAGAGCAGCCCTCCTTCCAGAGACAACCAACAACTGAAATTGAGAGAAAAAAAGAGATACAGTGAAATATAAACGCTGCAAATCACAAGAGAGATTTGAGACATTGTTGGCTTCAGAAAAAAAAGGGGTTGGTAAGAAAGTAACTGAAAATATATTTTTTAATAAAAATCTTTTTTTTTTTTCCTCACACAGATAAAGATTACATTAAAAAGGGAGAAGAGCAATAAATGAAGCCAGCTTGGATTCTAACCAAATTTATTCCCTAAATGAAGAAACTGAAGTGGATATCTCAAACGCAACCTCTTCATCTTACTACTTGGTTACTGGAAATATCATATTGTTAAAGTGCTTTCATTGCAGAGACCAAATAAAAGACAGAAAGATATTGCCTGTTAAAGTTCTACACAAACATGCAGCTTTACAAAGGCTGGAAGGTCATACTTTATAGATGAGCATTATTAATCATGATTTTAATTAAGCTATTTCAATATTTGCTAATGTTCTGGTCAAGTGCAATCAAATAGATTTAAATTTAGTTTGTATTCTGAAGTCCTTGTGAAATGTCCGCTGTGAAAAGATCATAGTGCAATCTCTATGAAAAAAAAATCGGATGAGCTTCAAGCTATGGTGAAATTCCAGCATGACTACAGGAATGTTTGCTTGATGGCGCTCACAGAGACTTGGCTTTCCGAAGCGGATTCATATTTTTTTTTTACGACTGTAAAAAAAAAGATATGTGGTGGTGATGGGATCCTCGCATAAGACATCTTTAATCGCAGGGTGAGCACAGTTCCCTAAGTCTCAAAGCACTTCCTTGAGAACAATATAATGACATGGAGACGCTGAACAATTTCTGAACTGAATTTTTTTTTTTTTTTAAATATATCCTTTGACCACAGTTGATTATCATTTTACCATTTTTTTTACACCGAGGAGTGCATATTAAGTCTCTTCAAATTTACGACTTTGGCGGTTTACGACTGGATGACTTTGGAGTACCTGTTCATATGGACCGGGATGCGAGGGAAACCGGTAAAGTGCAAGGAGGTGGGGTATGTCTGTATATTAGAGAGAACTGGTGCAAATCAGTGTCTGTTAAGGAGAGAGTGTGCACGAAAGATATTGAGTTGCTGACGGTGGCATTAAGACCTCAGTACTTGCCTCGCGAGTTTCCTCAGCTGTTTGTCACGGTTGTTTATATTCATCCCCGAGCAAACAAGGACAATGCGGCAAGGGAGATTGAACGCGTGGTGCATGAACTGCAATCTGTATCTCCTGATGCACCCAGTTTTATTCTGGGAGATTTTAATAATTGTACATTGGAGAAATCACTGGGACACTTCAACCAGTATGTAACTTGTCCAACACGTAAGGATAAAATTTTAGACTTGTGTTATGGATCGATTAAAGGAGCTTACAAGTCATTTGGTAAACCACCTGTAGGAACTTCAGATCACAATACAGTATTACTTGTTCCTACATATAAAACTGTTTTGAAACGTGAAAAGGCACAGTTAATTAAGATGAAGGACTGGTCTGAAGATGCGATGTTACGTTTAAAGGGGTGTATGGAACAGGGCCATCCTTAGGGGGGTGCAACTGGTGCGGTCGCAGCCAGTTGGGGGCCCCGCAGCGGACGGACCGAAGGGGAATTCCCCCCACCTTTTGTGAGGATATGTTAATACCTGTGAAATCGTTTAAGAAATTTCCAAACAGCAAAACATGGGTCACAAAATCACTCAAGAGTCTTCTGTCAAAAAGGTATAGGGCCTTTAAAGAGGGAGATACAGTTGAGCATTCTAGGCTAAAAAAAGAAATTAAGTGTAAAATTAAAAGGGCTAAATCAGCCTATAAGGAAGATCTTGAGGTAAAATTGAGAAAAAAAGTCTTGAAACCATTATCAATGGTAAGTTATGAAAGCTCATTGAAGACAAAATTCATAGGCTCTTGCAGATTGTGTCTGCAGATGTCTTATTTGAGGATTAATAATTTGTGGTATATATAGGTCAGGATAGTAGGAAAAGTAATAATATAATTAGTTTGAATGGATTCAGTTGAGATGCAGTTTTGTCACAGGATTTTAATAATTTTTATTTAAGATTTGATGCTTATGATTTTAAACAGGAAATCGATGGGTTGAAAAACTGAATATAGAATAAACGGGGAGTATGATTTTTTTAATGTGAGCGATGTGATAACAGTTTTTAAACAGTGTAAAATAAGGAAGGCACCTGGGCCTGATAATATAGGGGGTAGGTTACTTAAGGAATGTGCCGAGCAGTTAGGTCCAATATTTTATGAAATTTTTGCTCTGTCCCTCCAACAACAAAAAGTACCTGCACTGTGGAAGCAGTCTACAATGATTCTAGTGCCAAAAAAGCATAATGTACAGGTACTGGATGATTTTAGACCTGTGGCGCTTACATCACTAGTGATCAAATGTTTTGAAAAATTAGTTAAGAAAGTAATTATGCAAAGGACAATTTGCATATAGGCCTAAGCGAGGGGTAGCGGATGCAGTAGCGACTCTCTTACACTTAGTACTTCAGCATCTGGATAAGCCTAATAAACTAATATTTTAGTTGAGAAGCTCATTAATGAATTTGGGTTGGATTTTAGTCTCGTAGGATAGATTTTAGATTTCCTTGTGCAGAGAACACAGAGAGTTAAAGTAAATGACTGTTTTTCTGAATGGCTGGTGTCATCTACTGGGTCACCTCAAGGATGTGTCCTCTCTCCTTTATTATTTATCTTGTACATAAATGACTGTAAGAGTAGTTATAGAAATAGGCATATTATAAAATTTGCTGATGATTCTGTAATCGTTAGCTTAATGAGTGAGGAGGACTCCATGTATGGTCCTGTGGTTGATGATTTTATAAGGTGGTGTCAAAGTGCTTTCTTAAAACTTAATGTTTCTAAAACTAAGGAGATTATTGATTTTAACTCTAGGAGGAAATTCAGTATAAGCAAACAAGCATTAATGGAGTAGGTATTGAGAGTGTTGAACAGTAAAAGTACTTGGGTACTGTTTTGGATAACAAATTGTCATTTTCTCCCAATACTGATGTTTTGTGTAAGAGGGTGAAGCAAAGATTGTATTGCTTGCTGAAACTAAGGTCATTTAATGTGGACAAAACATTGATGTGCATGTTCTACATATGCCATATTGAGTCACTGTTATCTGTTTCATTGTTGTCCTGGTTTAATTCTCTAAATGTGAAAAACAAGAATTGTCTTGAGAGGATTGTAAACCAGGGAAGTAAGATAACCGGGAGGAAGCAGATGACTATGGCCCAGTTATATCATAGACAGGTTTTGGGTAAAGCCCAGAGCATTTTGTTAGATGATTCCCACCCCATGTATCACGAGTTCCACCTTCTCCCTTCTGGCATTCGTTATAGAACCCCTATTAGTAAAACAAATCGGTTTAGACATTCATTTATCCCTTCATTTATCCCTTCAGCAGTAAAGTTTTTAAATTTAAGGTAATAATTTTTTAGGAAGGAAATGGATTGTGTTTTTTCTATTGTGTTTTTGTTGTCTATGTGAAATGCTTGTATTCTGCAACCAAATTGCCTTCGGGAAATTAATAAAGATGAACTGAACTGAACTGATAGACGTATGCACTCAATCATGCATACGTCTGTAGAGAAGAGTGCCTGTGAAGTAAGCAGGCTGTTACTGAGGCCGGCAGTGAGGTTATCTGAGGCTGCTGACTTCTTGGCAGTGTTTCCAAAATGTGTCCTTTGGTTTGAGGGGAATCCATGTGTCAGACATATCCAATTAAAGCACTCAAAGGCCACCATTGTTTTCAACTTTTGTCTCCGATTAGTCAGGGAGCTCCCTGGCTTAAATCAATTGCTTAGCAGTGGAGTAAAGACAGAAACCATTATATGCAGAGCAGCAGAAAATGGCCACCACTTTGTGGGAATCCATAGGAATAGAGGAAGAACAGGACTCTCTGAGGACTCTCTGACTCAAGATTCTTGTTGAAGAATTTCTTCCAAAGTAAAAGGTCAACATTAGGCAGCATACACTCACAAAACGCACTTCTTGCATTTGTCTGTGCATCAAAATGCAGCTCTAAAGATGAAAACAGCTGGCATCATATCAGTTGGTAAAACCTATTTTCAGACTTGGATTTGGTCACACTTCAACACGTCACACTTTGGTCCAATTCAACTTTTACCAAAACTCCTGATTTGCTGCTTATTAATATTTGATATGGTAGTTGTTAAGTTTAGATACTGGGTAAGATTAGGGATGTAGAATATGGTCAAGCAGAATATGTGCTTTATAAATACTAATAAACAGCCAATATGTTAATAATAGGCATTCTAATAAGCAACTAGTTAACACTGAGAATTGGTCCCTGTACTTAAGTGTTACCTATTATTTGTTCACTGGTCTCTTGACATGAACATAAATTAGGACATTTTGATTAAAAAAAAAATTAGATATCAAATCATCATTCTTAGAATTGTGAAACTCTATATACCGGAATGAAATGTGTCATATATATTGCAATAAATGTCAAACATGTGCATTTTCCACATGCTAGTAGTTTCAGTTTCCCTTCAAATATTTTTTAGGCTTGTCATGTATGCTAAATGTTTATAATGAATGCCACTGTTATTTATGTTTGTTTTATACTGATATATATATATCAGATATATATACATACATACATACATAAATAATAGTGGCATTCATTATAAACATTTAGTATAAATGACAAGCCTAAAAAATATTTGATTCTTGTTTAAAATTTAAACACATTTAAATAAATTTAAATAATTTGTTTTGGAGTGAGGGAAATTCAATGCATTTTTATAGTGGTTGTTTTGTTTTATTTACCAGTATTTTACATTATTTCTGAATGTAACAAAGACAATGCAACTACCCATTTTACCAAGTACTCTGTGATCATACAAAATTACTATAACAAATAAATATCGTAATGTATTTTAGATGTACTGTAGGTACTTCTGTATTAATTTTAACATCCAAAGACTTGACTGAGACTTGACATACTGTAACTCTCAAAACAGAACCAGAACAATGTTTTAATGTAACATAAATGTTTTCTTTGTGAAACTGTGCTGCATCAGTGATACTTACTAACTTGGTGTGCCGTAACCTCTGGCCCGGGTAAAACCCACAGATACAGCGACCACAAGGGCTGGAAGACCTGCAAGATAAAGCTTATGATGAGGAAAGGGATAAAAAAAAAAAAAAAAACTGAAATTGAAAATTTGTTTAATTGCTTATTAGTATTTTAATGCAACATGTGGAGGCAAAGTTCATTGAAATTATTTACTGATAAAGAATATTGAGTTGAAATTCTGAAAAAAATAAATAAAAATTTAATACTGACATGCAGTGAAAGCAAAGATATTTTATAAATTTAGCCTGCATGTGAAAATTGCCCGCCACATATAATAACAGTGGACAAGCACTGCTAAAAGGAAAATTATGAACAGAAAATGCGACCTAGAATTTTTGATTTTTTCAGAACCATTAATGGCAAATGGCCAGAGGCTGGAGGGGAAGTTAGCTGAAGTAATCTCCTCTCACATTGGTGACTTTCTGTAGCTTGTGCCCTTTTCATGGACAAATGCACATGGCGTACAGGTACACCATTCCCCATGTGCGCAGTGCCCTCCCAGACCCCAGACACACTACTTTAGCAGAGAGCAATTCCCATGGGTCTCTGTGTATGTGTCTTTTTTCATGAGGCTGAAGTGTAGCAGTGTAAATTTTCCTGTCTGTGTTCTCTAAAAGCGCTCCACAGGGCAAGTACACAGAGAGAGCACTGTGACCCTCTTATAGAAACACTGTGAATGTTAGCTGTTACCAAAAAGCTTATATGACGTACAGTATAATGCAGGCCCGGACTGGCCATCGGGAGCACTGGGAGAATTCCCGGTGGCCTGGCGGCTGATTTGTCCCTGTTTTTTTTTTTTTAGTTATTATTATTATTATTATTAATATTTTATATCTTTGCCTTCCCAATATACCAAAGTGATCATTTCCGATTTTGTCATTCGATAATAAATCGATAAAAAAAACATAATTCGGTTAGTCTTGACTGGTAGCGCTATACGAATCGGCTCGTCTGTTACTCGCTTCCGTCAAACGGTTTCAAACAGAGTAATCGATGCGTGGGACCCGAGGAAGGAGAGGAAACGGCCAGAACAAGCAGTGAAATGTAGCAAAATTACTGACCTGTTCAGGGATTCAAGTGCAGGTCAGTTTCATCAGTAAATACGCTACTGTAGTTTTGTCTTTATTAACCTAGTTGAGTAGGCTATTAAACTGCTGTTAGGCTATCAGGAGCACCCTATTATTATTATCAGTCAGAATACTGTGCTAAAGGGCATCATTATTGATTGTAAAGTTACATTAATAAATTTAGCAGACAGATATTAATATGGATCACTGCCTAATAATGCAATAGTGTGTTCAATATTAGGATTTTTTTAATTTTGACATTTAGGCACTTTAGAAAATGTGTTTTAATATATTTGTATGAAATATAATGTAGGTTTGTTAAATATTGAGCATTTAAGTCATTTTAAGATAAATAACAACATTCTGTGCTAACAAATTGCAATGAGATGGTTGTTTTGCAACAAGGTGGACACAGTTCTGTTCATAACAGTAGAGAGACAGAGATATTGGGGAAAATTAAGAAAAGGAAGAAAAGAAACAGGGAAGTGAAGGTGCAGTTCAAGAGAGAACCTTTAACTATTTTCCACGGCCCCAGACTAAGGATTTAGACCTTTTTATGCGATGGCCATAGAAATAATAGGGTTGTCTGTGGTTTCAGAAATTGTTGTTGGTGTATAGGATGGCCTGGATGAGTGTGAGATTTCCCGGCCTGAAATTGCGTCCCAGTCCGGCCCTGGTATAATATCATTAAATGCACATTACTGTGTTTTGCTTCAGGTGTTACCTTTCAAATGCATATATTTAAAATGTTTCAATTCAGAAATCCAAGGGCACAAAGTTTAAAATAACATGTTCAGTATAGCAAATTTATTTTAATTAAGAAAGTGAAAGGGATATTTTAAATACAACCTCTTTATCTTATTACTTAATGTTTCTGGATATATCACATTGTCAAATTGCTTTCATTTTTTTTTTTATGTCATACAGTACAATGTAATAAAAAACATTCTGAAAAAAGTCAGAGCTTCCCATTTACAAATAAGATGTAAAAAAAAAATAATTGTAAATACTGACATGTCTTGGAATTGTAAAAATGTATATTTGTTACAAAATAAATAAATCAGAAACCATGATAAAAAATAAATAAAATCACAAAACCTTATTAAAAAATAATGAATGAATGAATTTGACATGCAGTTGGCAAAGTATGCAGGACTCTGTGAAAAACGTTTTCATATATCAGGTCATGAAAATTCAATATTTATATTTTATATATTTTTTATATTTTAATAATTATATATAAAATTATATAATTATATAATATTTGTACATTTATTTTTTATAATTGTATTTTCTTTGCGAGAATCTATATAATATTAAATGTTCATGAGTTCTTGAATATAATTGTTCCCCCGTAGGAATTTAAAAAATAAAAATAAAAAAGATTGCATTTGACTATTTAGTATACAGCAGTAAACACTATCATAGCTAAAGATCTTTTCAGAATGAAGTTTCCCATCTCAAGACTGAGGAAGGTGTACTTATTGGTCCTTGATTACACTGACGTTTACAGTGACCTTTACTTTGTAGAATCCCATCCTCCCTCTCCTCCCGGTGTGTGTGAGGGCTTCCTGGCCTCTCCTGCTGGTGTCATCCCTATTGTGTTTGCCATCACAGTCAGGGAGGCCAGCTTTACTCATGTGCTAATTAGACCTATCCATTCTTCTCGCTCTATGTCTGTGTGCCACGTCCACACATAATGAGCTCTCCTCTGAAATATTCATGTAATTAACAATGCTTTGATTAACTCTGGAAATTAAAGGCAATTAGAAAAACTCCGGTTTAGAGAACAGGATTGAAAGACGTGGGAAGGGAGGGGATGAACGGGATCCAAATGCGGCTTTGGAGGAAGCAGCACACAATGAAGGAACATGAGTTTGCTCTGGATTCAAGCTGTGATCATTGCATACTGTAACCTGCGGGGGGTCAAAGTTTGGATAGTTAGAATAGTCAGTTGGCTCCTTCTGGTCGATTCCGTAACCATACTACACTATGTGGGCCAAATAATGTTTCTTCACGGATGACCGTTCAAAAGTAGCTGTATATTGTAATAATTTCTTTTTCCAGCAGCATAAAAAACAACAACACTGAGACACAAACAGAAATCTTAAAAATATAAAATCTTTATAAATATATGATATATCTTGCAGCAGACAAGGAATAATGTAGGCAAATAAATACATAAATAAAAAATATGTTATTTATTTATTTATTTATTTATTTATCCTGTAAGTTCTAACAAAGAGCCCAGTCACATGACATTCTGGGCTTAAATAAATAAATAACTAAATAAATAAAATTGAGCAGGCAGGGGTAATATGCAGTGCTTGATGAAAACAGAAATATTTATATGGTAAACATTAAAGATTAAAATGCAATAATTATATTTTTCTTTGTTGGGAAACTATGTAATTTTCAATGTCCATTAATATTATTTAATTTATTTTTCACAGACAGTCAGTCAGTCAGTCAATCAATCAATCAATCAATCAATCAATCAATCATTGATTTTTTTTTTTGAATTTGAATCATTTCAAACTATACTTTCTTGACAATTCCAAGAAGCCAGTAAACAATGTTATTTACTTATTTATTTATTTAACCATATGTGTTGCATATTCATATTTTACTTTTTTTCTTTTTTATAATAGGCTTTTGGCTTTACGGATTAGACAGTCAGATATAAGACTCAAAACAATAGGGAGAAGAAATAACACAAGCTGGATTCAAATTTAGGTCGCCCATTCAATCACCTCCATCTGACCTTGTACACGACCAGCCAGAGCAATCTATGACAATATCCACATTTCACATTTTGAGTAACATGAGTAATACTTTTTGGACATCCTAGTTAGAAATCTACCACTTCCCTGGGGGCGGCAATGCTATTCTACAATATCTGCAAAGGGCATCTATGAATTAATGGAAGTGATTGTGGATCAATAAGTAACAAAACAAGTACGTGTGTGCTACTGCAAGTGCTTGAATATCCTTTCAGATCCCGCCAGTGTTAAGATGGATGCACACAATGCATTTCTTATCAACGATCAGACATCTACGTCTTGTAATACAGAAGTAACATTGAGCTCCTGTGGCATGCTTATGGTGTGTCATTTGGCTCCACTGAAGCAAACTGACATTGCAGACAATCTGATGTGACTGAATTGATAAGAGCTGGCATGTTATACTCCTATGGATGAAAAACTGAAGCTGAAGCGTTACAATAACATCGCTTTTGACCTTTGATGTTAGTTTCTGGTGTGTGTGTGGGTGTCCTACCCCAGCCCAGGCACAGGAAACGCTTGCGAATGAGGCGGGACCTCATCTTGCCAATCACAGCCAGGTAGGACTGCCATGCTTCTGTCAGTACCCAGCAGAAAGAGGCCAGAAAGAAGAAGTGCAAAAAGGCAACAGTCACAGTGCACAGTCCCTAGAGACAAAAGAGGGAAGAAGAAAGAAATAGGGAGTAAGAAATGATGAAAAAGATGCGAGAGAAAGCACAGGAAGCAAGAAGAGGTGCAAATGGCTCTCAGCTGTTCATTATCGAAGCCAAGAGAGAGAGAGATGAAGTGATTGAGTAGGAGAAGTGGGAACGAGCCGCGGACATTAACGAAAGTCCATTTGGAGAGAAACTGACTCGGTTCCACTGTGGTGCGAAAATGAGCTCTAACGACGCATTCTGTCTAGGCTTTTTTCTTCATAGACGCTACTTAAAAAGTGAAAATGGGTTAGTTACAGGTTGAATAGTTTCTAAGGCAAAATAGCAGGCTGGAATTAAAGAAAAGTATGATTTAAGTAAGCGGCGAACGCAAATGAGAAGTGGTAAGCAGAGTATCTCGCTGAGGTTTTATACAATAATGAGGTGCACATTCTAGTGCTAAACACCGGCCCGCTCAGCAAATGACCCAGGAAATGAGAAGGATTTCACACCATTCATGGTTTCCGAAATTAGGCTTATCTGTACTTTCTTAAACTAATGCCGAATATGAGAATTTAGTGAAATATTAAGTCTGGATCGAGGGGGAAGGGGTCCTCCGAGCAGTTTTCTTTGTAGCTCAGAGCGACAGGTTGGGTTTGAATGGCAGCTCTTATTTCTCAGGTGCCTCTGTAGTCTATCTTACGCTCTCTCAGTGAGACTGTCACGGCTGACACAAAGCTGACCCTCTAGCGCCTTCCACGCGTCTGTCTGCTACACGCGCCTGCCTGACTTTCTCAAATTCTATCGTGGCCACTTACATAATGTCATGACAGGCTGGAAAGAGAACAAACACCAGTTACCTGTACCACAGACAGACTACTATCTCTAGGGAGTCTGGGATCCAAGGTTAAGTGCCATTCAGAACTCAATTTTAAATTGAATGTATTTTGCATTCAAATTTAAGGTAACACTTTTTTTTTTTTACGGTGCCCTCGTTACACGTTACATGTATTTACTATTATAATAACAATAAATTATGCATAATTACATGCAAGTAACCCTAAACCAAACCTGAATCCTAACCCTAACCATTTGTAAGTACATGTAGTTAATTAATATTACTCAGTACTTAAAAGTATAATTACACTGGAACAAGGACACCTTAAAATAAAGTGTAACATATATTAAAAGTTTTATTTTTTCTTCAATATTCACAAATATTTTTCACAAATATTATTAACAAAAACAACTACATAGGGGCAACTTCCAGGAACACAAAAATAATATTATTTAGTTTAATGAGTTATTTATAGTTTAATAAGTTAATGTCATGTAGATCATGCTGGAAGGACATATAATTCCCCAGAATACTCTAATATATTCAAATTGGAGCCAAACATGAAGACAGCAAGATGGGAACCTAAAGGTTGTTCTTTCTCATCTCTTTCTGTCATACACATGAGAGAAATACAAATGTGCACACACTCTAATCCTTTAGTAAGTGCAAGTTGTTAACTAACATTACTCTGTACTTAAAAGTATAATTACACTGGAACAAGGACACCTTAAAATAAAGTGTAACCCTATTTAATGTTTTTATTTGAACTGAATTTTTATGAAGGTAGCATATTTAGCAGATTTAGAATTGTAATTTCAAATTATGTAGAATTAAAACATAATAAAATTTAATTTAATAAGTTTATATAACTAAATAATAGTAATAATAATAATTAAAACTCACCTTATGACATTATATATTAAATCACTTTATATAATAAATAAATAGCAGCTACATACAATTATGAGGATGTACAATTATACTTGATGTATTTTCTCTTGTGGACTATATGTTAACATCTTTTAAGTGAATTGTCTTATTCAGGTCAGTACTAAATAAACATAACATGCATTTTGTATGACTTGTATGATAATTAAAATTTTGCAGATTCTGCAAGGTGTATGTAAACTTCTGGTTTCAACTGTATATTTAAATCAACTAATTTCATGTAGACCATGCCAGAAGAACATTTACTTCCCCAAAATAATCTTCAAATTGTAGCCAAACATGAAGGCATCAAGATGGGAACCTAAAGGTTGTTCTTTCTCAACTCTTTCTCTCATATACATCAGATAAACACAAATGTGCACACATACTCACCTTACTGAGAGTTTGGGACTGTCCCACCAGTATCAGCACATTGGAGGCCAGTATGGACAGGCAGAAGTTCACCAAGATGATGGACCTCTCTGAACGAATGTACCTAAGAACAAGACAAGACAAGAAAATCACATGCTGACAACTTTAACAGCAACTTTGTGTTGCTATTATGCAATTATTATCTTTACAAAAGCTTGATATACAGGTTTATGACATAAAATGTGTGGGATCCATTTATCAAAATCCATTTATCATTTTTTTCACTTCATTGAACACTAGAGCGGCATCCCAGATGACCTACACATGAACTCCAAAACAGCTTCTTGCACGCAAGCAAGAGTAAAATGTCCTCATCCACTATTTGAGCTCTGGCCAGATCTGCTCAAGAGGACAATGACAGCGTCGCCTGGATCAATGGTCTGAGTGATAGGGCAGGCCCGTGATAAGCTCTCTGATGTGGCAAGTGCACTAATCTTGGATAGAGGAAATACCTTCCCACCTGCTACTCAGGAATTATGGGATAAGGGTCAAAATCATAGTATATCGAGACATTTAAACCAGCTCTAGCACCCTTAAAAATGAGCACCAAAACAGCATATTAGAATGATTTCTGAAGGATCATGTGACATATATATATATATATA